TTAACCTCAAGTTTATTCTCAAACTAAAATCTCATAACAAAAACTGATTTAGAGATCTAAAGATAACTATATATACTAACAGTAGCCAAGAATCCCAATTCAATACTAATTTGAACTTCGAATAACCTACTAATTCTAGTCCTAATCAAAAATCACAAGCTATCCACATAACTTTCCTAAAATTAAACTTAGACTCCAAACAAAACTCAAAATAAAACAAGTAATTAAAAAAAACTTCATGCTTCTGCATCATAAGAGAGAAAATGAATTAGAAGATTTAGGATCCATTTGCTATAGCGGTTTGAGAGTAGCGTTTAACGGTTTTGTCGAAACTACTAATGATAGCATTTACTCCATATGATCATTTTTAGTAGACCTAATTTGACTTTTCAACTTTTAAACATGAATTTTAGATGAAAATTTAACAATCTATATCAACAATAATTGAAAATTTTTTTTTCCCTATTATAATTCTTGTTAAGTATTTTTATTTGATCAAAAAAATTTTCAATTGTTGTTCATATGAATTGTCAAATTTTCATCCAAAATTCATAGCTTAAAAGTTAAAAGTTCATCAGTTAGGGTCAAGACCGCTGGCAGAGTTAAAAGTTCATCGGTTAGGGTCAAGACCGCTAACAGATATACCAAACCGCTAGCGGATTACGATTTTTTAATTTTATTAACGAATTTATCCTTTTTTATTTTTTATTTTTTGGTTAGGGTTTTAATTGGTACTTATCTAATTAATCTTAAATTCTTTTTTTTCTCTTTAATAAATTAATATTATATTTTTATTTTATACATTAATTTATCATAAAAAAATTATATTCGCTTAATCAACAAAATTATTAATTAGATGAAATTATTAAATTTTTTTCTTCATTTAAAAATAATATGATTTTTTTTATTTGTTAAAAACTAAAATGAGTGTGTGAATACACTATTATAATTTATTTTATTCATTTTTTTATTATTAGTTTTATAAAATTAATCATTTTAATAATAAAAACATATAAAAAAACACAATTAATTACTTTAAAATATGTCCTTATTAATCATTTACTGTTAAACAACAAATATTAACAATTATATAACCAAAGAGTTTATATATCAACTGAAATCCATTGTCTACTATCCGTCCCTATTTTATGTTATCTGCTATCCACTATCTATTAACCACCACCCATTACCTATTATCCACTACTCCTATTGGTTGAATTTTAACCGTCAAACAAAAGCAAAATAAACCCCAAACCTTGAAAGAAATAGGGGATATTTCTTAGGGTATTACTGCAGAATCCTACTAACAAAAATTTACATGTGCAAATCGATTCAAGTTGGAGAAAAATAGATTAACATTGATTTTTGTCTTACCAAAGGAAAGGATTGGATCGCAGCTTTGGGTCTTCTTCAGAATTTTCTATTTAATGTCTGCTAGAAAGGGTCCCATGTTGATGATGGCCGTGGGCGGTCGAACCACCATAGGAGGAGTGGAAGCCGAAATAGTGATAAATAGAGTAGCAAGTGTTGCCAAAACAGGAGGAAGGCTTGGAGAAATGGTAGATGAGAAAGTGCGCGTTGCCTGTTGAAGAGTGGTGGAGAAATAAGGGAAGTGTAGCGGATCGGGGTAGTTGGAGAAATCCTTTAATGACCAAAATGGGCTGGATCATTTAACTTTTGCCCTTAAAATTTTTCTTATTTTCAAATTTGGGCCTTAAAAAAACATTTATTGAGTATTTTTCAAATTAATTTAGTGCATTCAATATTTTTTTTTCCAATTAAATTTTCAATATCCAAAAATTACATTATATCTTGATTAATTTAAAATTAAATTACGTTAGATCCACAAGAAGAGTTCTCTCAGAACTTATTTTTTTATTTATAAGATTTAAATTCAAAATTTTATTTGAGGGAAGTCAAACACCTTTTATTCATATTAATAAATTGTTAATTTGTTACCTTAAATTTGATATTCTAATTTAAATTTAGTTTGAGGGTAGTAGAAAGAAAAGGTAGGGGAGGGTGAGGGGAGTAAAAGTAACCTTATTTGGAGCAATAAAATTAATTTGAAATATTTGATTTTGTTTTAATAAATTTCTCTCTCCTCACCTATACTTCCCTTCTTTCAAACTAAATAATGTATTAACAGTTTGTGTTTTAGGGCTCAAGTTAGAATTCAAAATTTAGGATTTATGATTTTAGATTTCAGGATTTCTTTTGGTCTCTGAATTTTAAGGATCAAGATTTAGCATTTAGAACTAAAATTCAAGGAAATTCAAGCGAAGCATTATTTTAGAAATACTCCATCATGATGGTACATGAATAGGCGTCCAGCATTACTTATCACAGAAACCAAATTTAGCATGTGTACGTAATCATAACCAAGTGCTTTCGAAGTGATTCAAAATTTACTCCAGACCGAATCCCACCATTACTACATTAGGAAAAAACTGTACATTTTCAAGTATGATTATTGTATTTCACATTGTATAAGGAATTTATGGATGTCAAGTTGCTTGTGGTATGCTATTGTGGATGTGGTATTTATGATTGTGACTTTTTTTTTTGGGAGGACATGGTTTTAGCGACTTGATATGTTTGTGAATTTTGAGTTTTGCTCAATTAAGGTATTGGAAAAATTATGTATTGACTTTATTGTTGAGAATGCATGGTGAAGCTTGGATAGTGAGGAGATATATTTCGAAGTGTTTAGAGCCATTTGTTACAGGACGAAAATTCATTTTTCAGATGAGAATACTGGATTTTCGTTAGAACAAAAATTTGAAAGGCAAAACCCCTGTCCCTTAAATAGGAGTGTAGGGATAGATTTATCCTTTAAAAAAATACAGAGAAATTATTGTTTTAAATTATCGATCAAAATAAATTATCCTGATGTCATCACATGTTAACTTTTCGTCAAAAAATATTTAGGTGACAAATGAAATTCTTAAGTATGATGACATCATATGTTAAATAATTGGTGATTTGTTTTTATCAATAATTTGGAGAAGCAATTTATCTTAATATTTTTTTTAGGGGAGGATCTATTCCTACTCTCTTATTTGAGGAGTGGATTTTTGCCAATTTGAAATTTGTAGAACATTGAGTTTAGTAGATTTAACATGTTATGTGGTCCAATTATAGAGGGTGGTGATATAGTGGGTGGTGATATAAAGATAACTTTTTTATATCATCTTTTTATATAACTTTTACATAACACTACATAAATGGATGCATTCAATATTACGGATCTCAAATGAATAAAAAGAGCAAATCATTTAAATGACATGTAAGGTTGTACAAAAAAATAATATAAAAGGTGGTCTCTAAATCATTTTCCAATCATAGTGAAGCATGTAAAATTAAATTAGTATCCACTTATATAATTTTTATATATATCACTTATATGAAATGTTAATTATCTCTTCATTATAAATGATTGAAATTTATTATAATTTTTTAAATGAAAAAAAAATTCTATACATATGACTTATATGAATGTTAATTATCTCTTCATTATAAATGATTAAAATTTATTACGACTTTTTAAATAAAAAAATTTATATTATAAAAATAAATAAAAAGTAAATAAATCTCAAGTATTCATTTTAAAAAAATAAATTATCTAAATTTTCATAAGAGATATATAAAAAAATTATGTTCAAGTAGATCATAATTTTATAAGATTCATAATTTATGTTTCGAGAGTAGAGGACTAATAAATATTGGGATGTTCTAGTTGATATACTTTGATAACTAATGAGAGATGGAAATTGTGAATGACTGATCCATTTTAACTCATGGATTGTGATTTTAATTCAACACGATTGCCATCATTATAGCAGTCCCAACTGTTATATCATGCATTTCACAGTTTGAATGAATGAACAGCAGCTGAGGAAGTATGCATTGTGCAATGACACATTTTCCTATGGTCTGTGAAAAAATTACACTGACCATTACTTTTGGGAAAATATTATATCATCTTCATTCACACAGATGAAACAAATTCGAATCATGCATTATTTCCAAGAAAGTAAAGTTAACTATCCATTTATTTGTGACTTCCAATATGAGAAAACAGAGGATATTTTCAGCCAAATATATATATATATATATTCTGCCTCTACCCTACCTTTGATTGGGAGCTTTTTGACTGTGGTGTATTTCAGATTTTCAGTTTTGAAGTAGCCAACAAAACAATAATAGTTCTTAGTGTCTGATATTTGGGATATGAATCACTGTTTGGGCATTCGTTTGTTAAACAGGCTTAACAAGGTAGAAGAGTACCCGACATTTCCCATCATTTGTAGCTGTTCCATCAGTTGCATCTGGCATTATCAAGAACTAACATTCCTGATGATCCCTACAAGTAAGTACTCATCTTTTGATGAATTAGTTGATTCAAGCTAACTTTTAGTTTCCATTGGTCTCTTTTTTTCCTTGGCCCATCTAAAACTGTCTTTGAAGAATTTTATAACCAAGTATAATTTTTGCTATGCCTTTTCAGTTGTTTCTGGCCTGATTTTGATGAAAAGGCGAAGGATGATGGAGGTTTTTCCTATTCACTTAAGGAAACTCTGGAAGGAATGGGAGCTCACTGGGGCAGCTCTGTTCAGCCTTACACTTCAAATAGTTCTCATTTTATCCGGCAATCGCAGGAAGTACTGCAGTGGAACTTGGGTGAGATTTGTTGCTTGGTTTGCTTACATGTTGGCTGACTCCGTAGCAACAATTGCCCTTGGCATCCTATCAAATGACTTGGGGCAGATATATGATGATGGAGGTCATATTAATGTGGCTAATGAGCTCAGAGCATTCTGGGCTCCCTTTTTCCTGCTGCATTTAGGTGGTCCGGATACAATTACAGCCTATTCCTTAGAAGATAATGAGTTGTATCTCAGGCACCTCTTTTGGCTAATAGTCCAGACAACTGCTACACTTTACATCTTGTTACTTGCCTGGACAAGTTCTAATCTTTCTTACCTATCCATTGTGATGATACTGGTGGGCTGCATCAAGTATGGCGAGAGAACATTGGCCCTATGGAAAGCAAGCAAGGACGAACTCCGAGATAGTATCCTCCCTGCTCCAGATTCCGACCTAAGATATACTAAACTTATGCAAAAATATACCATGAAAGTGGAGGAGGGATATTCCGTGGAAATACTAGAGATGAGGGAAGGTCAGGCTGACTTGGATGTAACTGTGCCTAGAAGAACTGCTGAAAGTGAAGATGATTTAGTCAAAGCTGATGCCTTATTTCAGACATTCAAGAGTTTGTTTGCAGATCTAATCCTTAGCTATAATGACCTAGACAGTAGCCAATGTTTGTTCGAGGACATGTCTGATGAAAACGCTTTCAATGTGATCGGGATTGAACTAGGATTCATGTATGATCTGGTGTACACAAAGGCACCGGCTATTTATACCCTCTGGGGTTTTGTTCGACGCTTCATCACTTTCTTCCTCACCTGCCTAGTGTTTACGTTTTTTATCCTTGATGATAAGTTCAGGCATGACAGGACTGATTTTGTGGTCACTTTACTTTTGCTTGTCGTTGCTATTTTCCTGGAGATATATGCAGCCCTTATTGTCCTTGCCTCAGATCAAACCAGAGTTTGGTTGATTAAGAAGAGGATGACTAGCATTCTGCAATTCATGAATTCTTTTGAAGAATGGTTTAAGTGGTTTAAGGTGCCGAGGTGGTCAAATTCTATTGCACAGTATAGTCTACTATGGCTCAGCCTTGAAGAAAAACTTAGCCTTAAAATTATTGAAGAATTTCGGTATAAAGAAATCAATGATTTCTCTACGAAATATAGGAAGCTGATTTTTGACCATGTCAAAGAGAAGTTTGAGCAGATTTTTTACGAAGAGGGGCCTGCGCAATCTGATGAGCAGATTTCTTACCATGTCAAAGAGAAGTCTGAACAATCTGAGGTATCAAAGAAAAAACGGAAGCGGAGAAGTAAAAGCGCGCTTGATACAGCTCTTAGGGAGTTCTACAGCCAAAGGGGAAAAGGCACACTTGATAAATACAAGAAAGAGATAGGTCAGGTTGACCTTGAATGGGGTATAAGTACTGTTGAATTTGACAAAAGCATCCTTATCTGGCACATGGCTACAGAAATCTGCTACAACTCAGAAAATCATGATGATGTCAATTTAAGTAGAGATTTCAGTCTGCACATGTCAAGATACATGTGTTATCTCCTAGTCATTTGTCCGTCCTTCTTGTCTGACAGGATTGATATTATGAGGATCCGGCACACTCGTGCTGAGGCCATGAAATTTTTCAAGGAGCAACCGCCGGCTGCCCTCGCTGAACTTCGGAGAAAACTATGGTAAACTCCTCTGTAAGTCCTCAATCTTTCTAGCATGAGATATTTTAAATCCTAACCTTCATTTTGCTCTGCCTTTTGTCCCCAACGTTTCTAGCACTAATCTTATTAGTCCTTCTGTTAAGTTTAGAAGTTCAGTAGAAACGGAAGTATTTCATGGCAATTACAGTGCCCCACAAAACTTTAAATAAAAATTATAAAATACTTTTTCTTTTTCTCTCATAGTTCTCAGCAAAGACTCCAAACCCTTTGAGGGTAACCCACACATTATCTTCATTATTTGTATTGAAAATTAAACCTTTGTTTTGAGTAGATATTATGCATTTTAAGATTCTTTTAGGGTTATGGAAGTCGATGCATTTTTAGGTGAAATTCTTTTCACTTCATATTTGTGTTTTTTCCTTTGCTAGATTCCTCCACCCCTCTTCTTTTTTTTTTTCTTTGATTGTTCAGAATTGAAGTTAGACGACTGAAAAATATGTGCAAAATTTCTTTGTTGTCTTTGGCTCTCTTATATAAAACCTCTCCCTTTTGGAAATTACAGGATGTGAAAAAATTCTTTCAAAGTTTTTTAATTGTTTATATTGAAAGAAAAAAAGGTTGTTGAGACATTTAGTGCATACTCTCCACTACATAACAAATTTTGTAACTTGAAAACGTGTCCATTGTTATTTTAATTTATTGTGTTAATAAATATTTGTGAAAGGTAATATACTATGGAAAAAGTATTTATCTGCTAGACCTTTAAAAAATTAAGAGGAAAACCTCCTAAAATTTACATCCTTTCAATAAATTATCATTAAAAAAATTAAAATAATCTATTTTTTAAAACAATAATGTGATTATTTTAACTTTTTTCTAGCAATACTTTATTGAAACAACGTAATTTTGAGTGTTTTTTTCCTAATTTTTTAGAGCCTTACTTGATAAACACTAATCTAATATACTATTTATGACATTAAAAGTTAATTTGTTTCCCTTGGCTTAAATTTTTGGTGAAATACAGGATATTATTTTGTGACTTTAAAGTTTAAAGTTTGCTCCCTCAACCTAATTTCCTGGCTCTGTTCATGCCTACCAGTTCCTGTTCCGGTGTTGAAGATGTTGAGAAAAGAAGAATTAAGGCTTGCAAGTTGTTGGTTGAAGTGAAAACAGACGTTCCACCCAGCAAAGTCAAAGGCGACAGCAGCAAATCTGTGTTGTTTGAGGCTTGCAGGTTGGCCTCAAGGTTGAATACTATATCAGATCCAAAGATTAAATGGGATCTAATGAGAGATATGTGGTTGGAGCTGCTAGCTTATGCCGCTTGTCACTCTAGGGATAGTCAGCATGGTCAGCAGCTGAGAAGAGGTGGAGAACTTCTAACCCATGTGTGGCTTCTTATGGCTCACTTTGGCCTCACTGAGCAGTGCCAGACAGCTCCAAGCCATGCACCAAGAGCCAGGCTGGTCACCAGATAGTAGCAGAGACAGGCATCCTGTTTTAAATTCTAATTGAGAGATCACAACTTCTCATCATCTGGACTGAGTTCTAGGTAAATTGCTTTCTTCACAATTTTCTCTTTCTCTTGAGTATTAATGCTGTTAAATGCTATATGTAGATTGAGGACCCGACTTGTGTTTCTGCAACTTACATGTGTTGCTTTGTCTTTTGTTGTAAAGAATATCGAAACTGATTTTTGTGATAGTTTCCTAATGTTTCCATAATCCTGACATAGATGACTAATCTGCGTATAAGAAATCTTAGAATTGTAGAAAGCTGATTTGAGAATCAGTGCAGTACAATCTAATTTGTGTATATGTAGGTCGTTGGCAATTTAAAATTGACAATTTAAACAAATTTTCCTTAGAAGTTTCTAAGACCCTATTTGGTTTTACTATTAGGGAATAAATGATAATTAGACAAATAAGAGTGTTTGAATTATAAATAATAACTGTAAAATATCATCTTAAAAGAGTGTTTTAAGTTATTAAAAATTTAACACTTGGAGATTTTCAATTTAAATTTTTAGGTGAGTGGAAAAGGATAAAGGAAAAGAAAAATTACTTTCTATTGTATAATCTATTATCATATAAAAAGTTAAAATGATGTATTTACCTCTTTATTTTTAGTAATTATTAGAAAGAACACTTGTACTTTTTAAGTAATGAAATCAACTTTCCCACATTTTGGTGGTTAAAATAAATTAGCTAAAATTTAATGAATAAAATAAATTAGCTAAAATTTAATGAAAGGCATAATCATGTGTCATCATTCCATCTTTTCCCTAATTCAATACCCAATAAACTCTTTCTGATTTAATAATTTTGGACCTATTTTTTTTATTAAATGTTATTTTCTTTAGAGGTAGCCAAATGAGTTTCGTGAACACTTTCTTGTTAACTAGCTTGATATAAAAAAAAATGTCATATCTTTCAAAAAATTAGGCCCAAAATTGCTGAATTTACAAGAGTTTAATAGGTATTGAAGGAGAAATTCAAAATGATGACTTATGATTACATTGTCTATTAAATTTTGACTAATTGATTTCATCTTAAATATAAGGGTTAATTTCATTCAATTTGAAAGTATGAGGAGGGAGATTTATTTCAAGAAATATTATAGGGGTTCATTTCAATAAT